TGTTGGATTGATTTCTCATGGTCCTTTACTATCTTTAAGAAATCTCTGTTTTCATGGTCCTTAACTGTGATCCTATCTTCTATATCTGCTATTCTGTCTTCAGATTCTCTCAGTCTGCTCTGCATGCTTTCAGTGGAGTTTTTAATCTCCTGAATATCTGTTTGAATCTGTTTCATGGATTCCATTTCTTTCTTACGTTGGGTGATCCTGGTTTCCATTTCTTTCTTATGCTGGGCATTCATGGCTTCCAGCATGTTTCAGTCTCATCTATTTTCTTGTCTGTTCCTGCTCTAGAGCCTCTAATCATGTCTTTCACTCTACTTACCATCTCTGTATTTATCTGTGAGATTATTTCTGCTTTGAATTTTTCTAGAGCCTCATGTATCTCCTATGTTACTTCCTGTGCTATCAGTTCAGGGTGTCCAGGTGGTTGATTATCTGACTTTTCCACCTCATGTTCCCCAGAATTTCCTTTTTGTGGCATGGAAGCCTGCATCTGTGCCTTGCTTAAATGTCTTCTCATTTTTGTTTTTGGTGCTGTCCTTAGTTTAATTCCTGGGTTGATATTTCAAAATTGCTTAATGCATGTATCTTTATTGGCAAGTTATTTTTCTTGGCAAATGTCTGACTTGTTTCTCTCCTCTTCTTGAGGAAGCCCCCTTCTGGAAACACAACAATTTATTTTCAATTTTTGCTTCTGTAATTATTTTCCAGGTGCTTCTTGAGAAACAGCAGCTGTTGGTCATGATGAGATTTTCCCTGCCTAATAAAGAAGTCTCCATGAATTAAATAAACAATTCCAAAGTTTGTATACTTAAAAATATGATCCATCAACCACATCATTTGAGCAACAACCAGTCCTTTGTCCTGCAGGCACATCATCAGGATGCACACGTCTCCTGTGGACTGATCATTCACCAACACCACGGCTTCATCTCTCCAGATTGCTTTAACTTCTTCCCCCCATTCCATCACTGTGTATCCAGCATGCCATCCCCAGGAAGCCACCATTCCCAAAAGCCATTTGTACATGGTTCCTTCAATAAACCAAAACTGCTTACTGTCCAGCCCACAAATGGCTGTAGAAGAATTACATAGCAGATGTAGGACGGACTAGTGACCAGGCTGTTGGTGACCATGAAGGCAAATCTCAGCAGAGCTTTCACTAGGATCCAGCCCAGCCTCAGTGCTCCTTCCAAATTCACAGCCTTTCCCACACTAGAGTCCGAGCCCTCAGTCTCAGGCTGGGGGCGGGCCACTGGGGCCGCAGGGGCAGGTGGTGCTGGAAGAATGCATGGCCAGCAGGAGGGTTGGCAAAAGCAGCATGGTGGGGCGTGGTGCGGGCGCTGGAAGACGCGGTCCCCGGGGCCCGGTGGCGCTCGCTGGCAGGAAGGGTGGCAGAGAAAGCAGTGCAGGCCTGAGCAGTGGAGACCACTCCAGAGTGCCCCCTAATGAGCAAGGTGCCACTACTGCACACCTGTCCACTCATCTGTGGGGCTCTAGGCTGGGATCTTGAGAGCTGGAGGCCGGGGAGCAAGCAGAAGCCACACCACCCTCATGCCTCAAGAGCCCCTCAGCCTCTTTTGGTATTCTGGATTTTTTAAGATGTTTGCCTGTAACTCTAGTTGGCTTATAGGTAAATGTAATTAAAGACATGCTTCTCCCAGGTTGACAGATTATGCAAATAGTGTCAACTGGTTTTACAAATACAGTACATATTGTTGTTATCTATATAAAAACTCAGGAATCTTTCATTGGTCAAAAATAGTGTGTTAATTATTATGATCTGGCTATCAGGTCAACTAAAAATTTGTTAAGATAATTAAATAAAGACTCTTGAGCTTAGGAAAACTACTGAACAGGACCTCCCTTGGTAAATAAAGGAGTGGCTGCCTGGAAAAAATTTATTCCAGACTTTGTTCACAAAGGGGACTCCAATAATTTCCATAGCCTTGTGGGAAATACATTGCTAAATATATTATTGTGATATTCATACATTGGTCATTGTCAAATGGCTAAGTTTTCTGTGGGAAAACAATGAAGTTTTATATAAAATATTCTTGGTACAAAACAAAATTAAGGGACAAAGGGTTTCATGTAATTGATATTCATTGTTACTAAATACCATTCATGCCTTCGAGGTGTACAAGTCTTGTAGGATATTATTTATGGTAATGATCTTTTTTGACTCAGGTATGTGCCTTTCTCTTGCATTCCAGCTACTTGTGATAAGAGGTACATGTCAAGCCAGCATGAGAAAATCAGCCAAATAATAGTTTTCTTAAAAACTTATGTGATGTATATTATATGTGTCACCACACTCAGGGATGTTCAGCCACCAAACAGAAACAATGTCACACACTAAAATTAGAGGCTAGACATTATGAACTCCTAAGATACATTTATAGGTCAATATATATGTTCTCTTTAGATGGCATCCTACTAAAGGATAACAAATAAGAGTTTTCTTTATGCCATTTAATGGCTTGTGATCAGATGAAAGTGTTTGACTGAAAGACTATTCATTATTAGGATAGACATGTAAGTGTTACAAAGAAGATATCATCATGATTGTTATGCTAAAATATTACCTGTGGCTCTTGATCTTAAGTTTTTCTATACAATATATAACTGTTGTCTGTTAACATTTTACCAACCATGGTTGGTAAAATAGCAGCCTTCTAACTGTGCTTTATACTTCAAAAGTGCCTGATGTCTTAACTATTATAATAGTTAAGCTCACTGCTCCTACTGAAATATTTATGTCACTGATCTTCTCTTCTGGGTGTTCAACAACTAAAGTTTGGAGACCAAAACTAGAAAGGTAACTTGGCTATGAGGATAGGCAATATTTTGGCCCTGGCACCTCAAGGTCAAGAAAGATTCAGGATACAAAGGAACCTTTCCTACAGGATTCTACATCTTTAGTAGGTCAGTCAACCTCCTGAGCAGGGAGATTGCTGGACTCCAGAGGGCAAATGTACCATGTGGCAAAGGAGGGTCACAAAGAGGAGAAAATCTCCCATGCTTTCACTGAAAGCAATATGGTCAAGCAAGGCTGTGACCCATCCTGATGGCTGACACTGACAGAGGAGCTGAGAGGCTCTGTGCATGATTCCAAAATAATGCCTGAGGAGACTTATTTGACCTTGATGGATAGCAAGAGGTTCATACTGGTTGACACAGGTCTCACTTTAACTCTGTCTTAAACACCCAGCAGAAAAGAATAACCAAAACAGGTATGAAAATAATGTCATAGTAATAAAGCTAGATATAAAAGTAGGGGTCCAATTGTTGACTCCTTCTGGCAGTTTCCAGCTACACCACTAGCTGACCATGGTTATGGATCATTAGGAAAAAACTACAGTAAAATCTATGAGCTCAGCTAGAGTTTAAATTTCTTAATGAGATTTGTTCAAATTGTCTCTTCTTATAGCTAAAACTAGAGAGACTTATGACAGAGTATCAGATGTATAGATAGATAACCTCCATCAATAAAAGAGTCTTAAGAGATAACAGGTTACAATCACTCACTATTCTAGTATTTAAGTGTGACTTTCTCCCCAAACTGCCCTTCCATTCTAGTGTGCTCTTGCTTAGATTATACATGATCTAATTTCTTAAAAGTTTTATTTACTCTTGCCTAGCATCTGCCAAACTACAAGGAGTCATACACATGGAACCAATGACAAATGCACTAGGATCCACCAGATTCACCTTGTAAATGGCTCATAACTGCTAAACTAACTATACAATATGACTTCTATGTTGAATTCTGAAGTCCCCTGGACCTTCTCCTTCTCCTTTTTGTGGGAGGCTATTGGTAGTTTTTTCTGGTGGAAACCCTTGTTGGCTATATTCATAGCAATCCTGCTGACCTTATAAATTGGCCCATGTATTAACTGTTTCTTTGGATTTGTCTGCTCCAGACTCAAAGCTATACAGCTACCAAGAAGACAATGCCTGGCACCTATTGAAGGCCTTTCGATAGACCCTCTGTAGAGTAACTCTGGCCACTGATCACAACTATTCATCTGGAAGTAGCCAGACCTGTATTTCCCCTTTGCCCCCTCACAGCAGTTAGGGGTAATTCTTCAGAGGGATGAATATTGCAGATAGGTAAGTTAATTAGATATCTTGTAGGGAGTTAGTCAGGGCCACCTCACAAGGAGCCAATGTGGAGGACATTGAGGACACATTCACTGAAGGCCAGCATTGTAAAAGAGAGAAACTACCACACCCATGTAGGATGAATAGCAGTGGTTTATATTCTAAACAGGTCTCAATCACCTGGGTGCGTGGCCAAGATCTTAACCCAGCCTCTTCAGGAAATATCCCTGACCCTCCCCCTACTGAAAATCCTTGCATGTTTGCTACATGACTTGCTCCCCCATTTAACCCCTACTTAATCAATATTATCTGGGTGAATGTACTTGTAATCTTATTGGTTGATTATGGTTTTGTCCCACCTTATGCCCACCTTGTAAATTTCCATTGGGTCTTATAGTTTCATCCCACTTTGTACCTACCTCACCACATGGCTTTGCTGTACAAAACATCTTTAAAAAGTGGGGTGGGTAGGCAACCCACTTTCTAGTCCCCCCTCTGTCTTTCTTAGGCAGAAGCTTTCTCCCAATAAATTTTTCCCACTTTAAAAAAATATATGTCTGAATATGTCTTAGCTGCTTTAATAAAATGTCCTTTAACCCTGCCCCCCCCATCAGTCCTAGTGGTCCACCCACTGCAAGCAATGGTTTCAGAGTTATAAGACATCTGCATATGGGTATGATTCACCCTGCTAGAAAGTCACTTGCTCTCTCATACAAAGCAATCTAATACTATGTCACCATGTAGTCATCCATTTGGGAGCTGTCAGTGTTGAACTAGAATACATCTCCATGATTATTCCAGGGAGCTCGTGCCCTCCTTGTCACCATAGGCAGGGCTCTTGCCCCTTGGACTTCATAGGCTGCTTTGGAAAATGTCAGCTTCTAGCACCAAAAGGTTTAATTTGAAGATCATCAGTAATGAGGGAGAAAGATGAAGTTTGCATACATGTCCCCTTTCAGTGAGAAAGGTTGGGATTTGGAGACATGCATATATACAGAAAAAGAAAAGCTAGAGGTGTTCTTTCTGTTTTGTTTTGTTTTCTCTGATGGCTTAATTCAGTGATAAATGTACCTTGATTGGAATAAACACACGAAATTTTTATCTTTTACTGGCTACATTGTAAATGCTCACAATGTGTTCATTTTGCCAAGTAAAGTTCATTTCTTAACATAATTCAGATGTTGATTTTCTTCATTATGTTATGTTGCCAGGTAATCATAATATTGTAATTCTCAAGTAAGCAAACATCAACAGGTATTTGTTTCACTAACCTCTTGGCATGAATAGCTGATTTTTTCATTTTCAGCACCAAGGGGTTAAATGATGGCATCTCTTCTCCCAAAGCCAAGTTCTAATCAATCTGTACAATTTCAGAGCCTTATCAAAAACTTTTTTTTTACAGAGGAGAAAAAGTGAATGATTCTTATCAGTGTGTACATTCCTCGCACATGGGTCAAAAGAAATTGCAGTAGGTCTGTTTCATGTAAGTTGGAGCTGCATGTTCTAACATGACATACAATTCTCATCACTAAAAAAGAAATACTACTGCAACATAGACAAAATCATAAAAGGACATTCAAAGTTTTAACATCTGAGAAAAAGCTAATCACCTAGAACTGAAAAAGTAAAAAAATAAAACTAATAAGGCAAACACCTGTTGGTTTACCTTGGTGTATAATTTTGGTGAAAGCAGGATCATTATGCCTGTCTACATTCTTCAGCCATCAGAAGTGATAAATTTCAAGAAGGGAAAAAGGTTCCCAAGCACAGGGAAAAAAATGCTCTCTGGTGCAGAGTGTATCCTAAGGCCCTTTAAGTGACTTTGATTCTATGTATATGCCGTTTCTTGGTAGAACAAAATCCACTTGCCCATGACTGCCCATGAAATCTGATGTCTATGTGTGATACTGGGCTCCCTCTGTAGTATCCAACAGGAATTAAAAATACATATGTATATCTTAACTGT